GTCAACAAACATTTGTGCCTGCTGACAGTTTTTAGAGCTCCTGCAAACAAAAAGAGGCATTACATAGTCGTTAGTTTATAAATCTGAGTTAGAGAACAATGAATCATGCATAATTGTTGAACCTTCCCTGAAAGAAACACAAAAAAACCTCCCAACACTTCAGCAAATTGGACTCTTTGACGCCTTTATGTAAAAGGGATGAATAACTCAAGTACTGTGCTGTACTGGATATCTAACACAGCCTCCAAGGCCAGTGCTGAATCGGTTCCTGAAATAATAATCCCATTACTATACAGTACTACAGTCCTGGAGAGAATGTCATGTCACATGATTTTATTGATGTTTTTTGAACCTTCAAGGAGTTGAACACATGCCTGGGTAATGAAGACAGAGGAGGTCAAAGCAGGCATGAATAGAAAACACGTATTAAAACAAAATGTATCCTGTCATCTCACAAATACTACAGCAGAACCTCAAACATGGAACCGAAGTAATGTTTCCCATTGCAATGAATGGAAATGCAATTAATCCGTTCCAGCCCCCAAATTAAGTGAAACTTAAAAATAAATATGCCATATACAAATAAGTGAAAACAACACTTACAAAAACATTATCACAATTTGTTGCTCGTTAACTTCAACTAAGGAGGGGAAACGTGGAAGTGGGTTTAGGATGTTCATGCATCCTGCTACAGTACACAAGGAATTATTGTTTTGCATCCCCCATTCATCACAAATGGCTTTTAGTTGAAATCTCACCTTACCACGGTGGTTGGTTGACACAATTTGGATGTTGAACTACAGTGATAGTTCCATTTGGAATGAGATAATTAATCACAGTTGTCATTGCCTAAATTACTGCTTGTCACCGTTTAACAAGTATAAATAACAGCACTGCTTGAAGTGCCAAGGCCCATCAAACATTTAATCCTCCTCCAACATCATATGAATTGTTTAAATGTAAAACATATGAATGTGTAGCCAATTTGTGAAAGATATCTTTTGATGAAAGAGGAGATCAAACGTTAAAAATAGGGGAAATAAATCATTATATATTACAGCCTGCCTGTTCTCCTTCTCCAGAGACAGAACGATATATTCAAACCCCCGCAATGCAAGAAAGGCTTCTGGCTACTGATTTGCACCAGACTGCTGGTGACAGTGTGTGTGTGTGTGTGTGTGTGTGTGTGTGCGTGTGCGTCCGTCACTCTCACACCAAGGGACAATTTAGAGTGTTCTATTAACCTGCCACGCATGTTTTGGGAATGTGGGAGGAAACCGGAGTACCCGGAGAAAACCAATGCAGGTACGGGGAGAACATGCAAACTCCACATAGGAAGGCCGGAACTGAAATTGAACCCTGCACCTCTGCACTGTGAGGCCGGTGTGTGAATCAGTTGACCACCGTGCTGCCCTGGAGAGCATCCAGGACATATAAAACTGGCAGGTGCATTTTTTTATTTCAAAAGTCTTGTTGAGATGTTAGCAATGAACACGTGTGGTTCAAAAATAATTTGAATGTCAGTTTACATCATGAATCAGCATTTCTGAGGAGATTTATATTCAAATTAAACAGAGGATGAGGATATCATTTTTGCTTGAGGAAAACTACTCCAGATGTAATTACGAGAGTAGGCTTGGCCAACGAACTTCATTCATTTCTAACTTATGCCTTCTGCTTAAAGTCGAATAACCTCAATTCATTATCGCTCTCTTATACTACCCAAAGAGCTGGGGTGATTTCTCTTTTCAGACTCTTTAGAATGTGTTACCACGGTCAATATGATTTTGAAGTTGGATTATAATTAAAAAAAACAGTTGAAAGTTCTCTATTCAAATGTAAATGTAATTATCTTATTCTTGACTAGGTTCTTTCATTGAATTTTTGTAACTGTCATATATAAGGTGCCATGACATGTCCAAAGCTGTCTGTCTCAGCCAAATCAGCGAGATCTGGTTGGAGGCCACGCTGTACTTTTATCATCTCAGGCTTTTTCACTGCGGCAAAAATCACACAATTTCACCATTCTGTCAGAAATCAGGGTTGGCAGAGCTTATGATGTTATGCCGATGACATTTCTTGCTCACTGGACTAAACCAATAACCCTCTCTCTATACAGTATATCTATCTATCTATCTATCTATCTATCTATCTATCTATCTATCTATCTATCTATCTATCTATCTATCTATCTATCTATCTATCTGTCGATATAAAGGTCGGATTTTAATGTGCTAATTACAATTAATCTATTACAAATAAATCAAGGAATTGATGGGTCTTTGTCATGACCATGTGAAGAGACAAGAACTGCTTTGAATCACATCTCAGTATTTACATTTATTTGTCCTTTTTTTCAATTCTCTTACTCCTCCTATGTTGCCGTATGCACATGCATGCTGTGTCAGACCGTGCAATAAACAAAGTGGCATCAGATGTAGGTCATATTATAATGCATGTCAAGTATCTGATTTCGATACTAAATCATAGTCAGGTCTTTTTAACCAACAATCTCAATCCAGTTTAAGGGACGACATTGAGAATAACCTCACTTTTATTGTTCATGTCATGGAAGATGAATTACTAAGAACATAGAAATGCTCAGAGCTGAGGACTTGGAATATAATTACACAAGGTTGCTGTCCTTTGGATAGTGTGTTCATTGAAAACGCATAACTCTGTAGCGCCCCCTTTTTGTGCTAGTGATTCAGTCACTAATATGAAGTTCATTTTGCACGGTTGAAGCAGTCTGGGGCACGCATGCACCGCCAGAAATTACTTTCTTTATTAGAAGGATTTTCAAGCGCTTAATCTGCCACCGTTGGCATCGGCACCCACGCTGCGCTATAAAGCTTGACAGGCGAAGCAAACGTAAGGCGCAGTAGATAAGCCGTAGCCCAACTCCACCTGAAACTCGTGTCCATCAGTATTATAGAAACAATAGGGAATATATATTTGTGATTTCGACCAAACCCACCAATTTTAGGGGTGTTCTTATCGATGCAGTTAATCCATAGGACCAAGAAGCGTCTGCGAAAGAGGCTGGTTATCATCCACGATCATTTTGAATACTATTATGTCTAAGTATTGTTAGCCGTGTAGTATGCTGCAGGAGAGGCTTATTGGTACAGTCTGAATCCTGCTCACAGTTACAATATGCAAGAAAAACACAATGTTATCACATTTGCCACTGTTATATACTAAAATTGCTTCTGCACAAGAGTCAACTTCAACTGTGTTTATCTCTATCATGGCTTCCGTATTTTATACAGTACTGTTAGGTGCTAGAAGTCGAGAATATTTTGAAACCCGAGCTCATTAACACCTTCCAAACACTTTTGAACAACACATGAATGCAGTCTAACTGATGCTGCCTGATCACATCAATGTCTGCCTAGAAAAACGTTTTCACATGTATGTTGTTTGGATTTGAACATGCAGAAGTGGAAAGTCAGAGCATCATGGCCTACTGGTGGCACTGGGAGCTTGCATCCATCCATTCTCTGTACTGCTCATCCTCAGACATTGGGCACTTTCATACCACAATGACCAGAGAGTTATAGTTCCTTCTATCTTTTATACGTGGGACAAAATGATGTGCAGTGACTCGCTTTTCTGGCTGTGCACATCCTCCTGTCCACTCAAATCTGTCATGAACGCATCATCATGCCAGATACGCTAAAATGTGGGCATTCCCTGTCAAATCTGGTCCTGCGCGTATGTGGGAAATGATGTGGGTTATTATAACCTTGGTGATTCTGTGCATTACCTGAAAAAGAGGTGAAACCCTTTTACAACCCAGCAGGCTCTTATTGAAAATGCTGATGGAAATGCTTCAAGCATTCATCCTTGGTCATCTCGAAAGACCAAACCCAAGCAGATCCTTGGATGAAAAGTGCCTCGTTCCAGACTCAAGTTCCAAGGTGTGAAGGTCCCACTGACACGGCTCAAAGGGTTGTTGGCATCTGCTTGCAGACTAACCACCACACATATTCAAGCTGACACGACTTGCCTCTCAGAGCATCCCAGAGGAACACAAGCATTCACTTCATGACGCATAGTGTTTGCACACCCGATTCGGCCTCAAAACAAGACAGGGAAATGTTGAGAAGAAGTGTGACGGCCGGAGACAACAGAGGCATCGGACCAGAACTCCCCTCACTGCCCACTCTGCTCTTCAGATGCAAATCAAGGAAACAAATCTGTGTCTAGTTTGCAGTTTTTGTACCAACTTATAACACCGTCTTCATTCTTTTAACATCTGGCCTGAATACGGCATCGCTATTTGACAGTAGAACGTAATGCAGTGACTCAGCTTTCATTACACATCATGTGGGGGGGGGGGGGGATTACTCAGTTCTCATGAAACTTGGATGGGAAATGAATAAAAGAATTCAAGATGAATGCTTCTGCTTGACTTTGTTGTGAACAGGATGAGTCACTTGAGTGACATTCTTCAAATTTGTGTAACTCAAGGATGAACCGATGTGATGTGGGCAGTCAAAAGCTCCATTCACACACATCTAATCTTTGCAATGACATGATGAGGTTTTATTGTCAAATGCAGGCCCAATTCCTTCTATTTCTGCAGTAGCCAACATTCTATTTCTTTAGCATGAGCCTCTGACCTGAAAGGGTCAGCTGTCACCCCAGCGGGTCAAACGCATGATTTGTTTTTCAGTTTTTATGCTATCTGTATGCCCTTCTTGATGCGATTCACCCGTTTTACACAGCTACCAATGTAAAGTGTTGAAAATGTGCTTGCTCTCTTTGACGAGGTCATGATAATTGCGCAACAAACTTGCTGTTGATTGTCTTTCATTGCAACTGTCTTGGTTTGGGCAATATGCAAGCGATATGTAATTTTACTCATGTGAAAATACCACCACAATTAATACCCATGGGCTTTTGCAGCATCACACCTGTGTAAACGCATCATCAAGCATGATTATACTGCTAAAGAATAATGAATCTTCACTACTGTTATTTTGCCCTGACAGATCCCCCAGGTGAGTTACGCCTCCACAGCTCCAGAGCTGAGTGACAACACGCGTTACGACTTCTTCTCTCGGGTGGTGCCGCCTGACACCTATCAGGCTCAGGCCATGGTGGACATCGTCAAAGCCATGAGCTGGAACTATGTCTCCACTGTGGCCTCCGAGGGAAACTACGGAGAAAGTGGTGTGGATGCGTTCATTCAAAAGTCTCGAGAGGACGGTGAGTCTCTTTTCTGATCTCTTAAAACAAACATTCCATCTATTGCGGTCAACACCAATATAATGACAAACTTTGCAGCGCTCAAAACACTTGACCTGAGCTCACATGTCGTCACTGTTTACAATTCCATCCGTCCATTTTCTTTATCACTCACTGACATCAGACAAAAGAGAGACAGCACTCTGCACTGGTTGTCAGTCAATCACAAGACAAACTGGAAAGAGGCAGACAGCCATTCACACTCACTTTCACAACGTCAGTGAGTGGGAACCGGACCCACGCTGCCTGCACAGAAGTCGGGCAGGGGAACCGCAAATATATCGTTGATGACCGCAGTATACAGCGCCGTGAAAAAATATTTGCCCCCTTCCTGATTTCTGTGTCCTTTGCATATTTATCACACATAAAGATTTCAGTTCATCAAACCAATTTTAATATCACAGAAACAATCCAAGTAAATACAAAATGCAATTTCTATTTTATATCCCCCCTCCTGGTTAACTCTCACAGTAACTGTGACGAATGACAGTTTTGGGAAAGCTGAGTTCTATTTCACAGGCAACACCTTTGTTGCACCACGTTTGCTGAATCAAGAAATCACATACAGAGAATCCGTCAGACAAAGTGGAGGAGGCTACAAGATCCCCAGAAACAAATGCATCATGCCACAATCCAAAGAAAAATCAAGAAGAAATTTGAAAAAAAAAGTTATGGAAATCTATCAGTCTGGAAATGTTTACAAAGCCATTTCAATGGGGAGTCTCTCTGTCAGATTAAAATTGCTTGAATGACCTGAACAAACCTTTGTATGTGATAAATATGCAAAGAACACAGAAATCAGGAAGGAGCCAAATACTTTTTCACAGCACTGTAGATTTCAATATCGACAGTAAATTGATCTTTCAAACAACACTGACCAATGAATAATCGAGTTATAAATATCGTCATCACCTGGGGAGGTGATCTCATTTTGTATCAACCTGACAGACGAGATGGTTTGTTTCACTTCAGAGTTTGTTTATGCCACACAATTTGTAAAAACACCCATTTTTGGAAGAGGGCAATCTCAATTTTCAAATTATTCATGTCCATATCCATATCATGATTTATAATTTTTCCCCTCTCCATTCACAAGTACGACAGTACGATAGTACAGTATTAAAGATTTCTTTCAGGGTGAAGTCCTTTTTGGGCAATAGTGGGATAATACAAAAAAGAAACAAGAAAAACGAGAGACAAACACCCCACCGGTAATATAGGAGAAGTCATTGGTGTCAAAACAGAATCCATGAATTCAAAATCGATCTATCAATCTATCTATCGAGTCCAAACATTGTATTGCAGACTTAGAAATAAAATACTTTATACTAGTCGTAATGTGCAATTTGATTTCAAAATCGGATCTAATGAACTATATCTGCTGTTTTCTTATAATCGATTAAAACAATGCGTTTAGGTTCCCTCCGTTTTGCATCCCGTCACAACGTGAAGCTCTAACTACTCTGTCATGAGTGCTGGCAGTCCAAGAAAAACATCGACGTTGCACCTGTTCCATCTCTAGTTACAGTCATTCTTTCCAAAAGATTTCACTCTTTGAAGTCGCGTCACACTCAGCATGCCACGAAGATCAGATGTGACACATCTGCCCCATCCTGGAAGCTGACTTGTTGGATGATCATTCCCGACCTCTGTCCACTGCTTTATGAATACATCAGTGTCACTGGGTGTTACCCACGTACTAAACGCATAACCGGTTACGACCAAAAGGAGTAACAATGACAAGCTCAATGGTTACTGATGGAAAAGTAGAGCACTAACAATGTCATTCAAGCACAAAGCGCCCGGGTGAATGTTGGGAAACAGCATGACACTCAGTGTCTCATTGGAGGTTGTGAACATCATTTCACGTTTCTCGGAATTGAAATTGGGTCTCCTCTTACGTAAGCTAGTCTATTATGCATCCTTGTACAAGCTTAACAGGAGTTATTTTTAAATTGCAAGACTTCCGTTCACATTAGAAGAAGAATACATTACATGGCATGACAATGATGAGTGCGTACATTCAAGATGCTTTCACAGCTTGGACGCTTCCATCTTGGAAATGAAAGATTGTTGAATGGTTGATTCACTGCTATCTATCTATCTATCTATCTATCTATCTATCTATCTATCTATCTATCTATCTATCTATCTATCTATCTATCATATTTGTCTGTGTCTTTGGGCCTGTTTCTGTCACACAGGTTGCTTGAACAACCACAGAACTGTTAACCAAGCTTATTTTAGCATGATTTAGCAACATAAGATGAGATTAGATAAGATAAGATAACCTTTATTTGTCCCATACTGGGGAAATTTGCAGTCTACAGCAGCAAAATTGGGGGCGGAGGGGGAATAAAGTGTTTCATTGCACAAAATAAATGTTTCAGAAAAGAACTGTATGCAGTACAATATAAGTAACAACATCACTGTCTATTTAGAGGTGTGTGTACAAACTTTACTTCTCTTCTGTCAATGTTTATTTTGTGAAGTTGGCTCATATAAATGACACATTTAGACTGCAAGGGGAGACCCGTGATGGAAAAAAAAATCAGAATGTAATTATGAGGGGAATACTTCTGCTAAAAATAGTCTATCTTTAAGACTTGGAACCCTTTTCAAGACGCAAGATTTTCGTTTAGACACTTCTCATTGCAACATTAGTCTAATCCTCGAGTGGGATGAGGCTCCATTGTCATTACGGAAGATGAGATGAAACACGTTTTCTGTTTGATGCCTCGCTGTTGTCATCCTGCCTTGTTCTCAATGCACAAGTTCATGTTCCACGATGGGTCCTTCTCTGTCTGAGCCTCTCTTTGAAAAGCCCTCGTACCTTCTGTGTCATAAGAGAGCACAGAGATGTGTGCAGTAATAGCAGCTGACACGCCACTTAACTGTAACCTCGTGAAAAGTGTGGTACTTTCTAAGGGTAGTGTGCACTTTTCATTGTCCCCTGAAATCAGACTTCTTCATCCGTCATATTGGTCTAAAAGGTGATGCTTGGCTTTCATCTGCATATTTTTTTCCCTAATTTTATGGTCTCAGGAAGATGCAGACAGATCGTTCTTAAAATAATTGTTGTCATTTTAAATGGCAGTTGAGGTTGAGGAGGTCAAAAGGAGTTCACCCTATCTCACAAATGACAGAAGATGTGGGGAAAAATGTCAAAAGGAAACATCATCTGAAAGCATATTGTCTGTAACATTGTCTGAGAGGGGAAGTTAAACATTCTTTGTTTTTGGGGTTCAACGAGTAGAGCTGCTTTAGTAGGCCTTTGAGGTCTAAAAACATTTCCTTAGACCTTACCCGCTACAATGTACTTCACATGTTTTCTAGCCTAGGAGCATCTTTACTTTGTTCAGAAAAGAAACCAGAAATGGATGACAGGCTAAGCATGAGTTCAATTCAGGGTCATTTAGTTCATTTTCCTTTCCCTTTTTTCCCCTTCCATTTCTCCTGCTTCAAGTCAGTGCTTGTTAAACATGCACTAGTTTGAAAAGCCAGTTTCAGAACAATTATACATATCACATTACCGGTATGTATGAATGTATGTGTGTGTGTGTGTGTGTGTGTGTGTGTGTGTGTGTGTGTGTGTGTGTATATATATATATATATATATATATATATATATATATATATATATATATACTGTGCATTAAATGTACTACACGGTAGAGTAACATTCTCAGTATGTACTTGACTACTCTGACAGTTTGTCAGCCAGTGAAGGTTTTGTTGCAGGTGAGCAAAAAAAGAATTACATTATTTGCATCAAGTGATTTTTGAGCATCCTGTCACAAAGGGAGAACTCAAACTCATATCTGAGTTTCTATCTTGTCAAGCTTTAACTATGCCATCTAATCTTTCATCTTTCTATCCTTCCATTTTCAGCTGCTTATCTTGTTCAGTGTCACGGTGAAGCAAGAGTCTATATCCTAGCTCAGTGTTTTTCAACCCCTGTGCCGCGGCACACCAGTGTGCCGCAAGACATTGTCAGGTGTGCCGCGGGAAAATATCCAATTTGTATGCCTGTGTGCCAATCGCACAGAAAGTAATCGTGTAGTACCCTCCCGTACCGCTAGAGAGCAGCAACAGCTAGCCAATTGCCTTGTGTTTAGACGAGAGACAAGCGAATTTGTGACGCATGAATGCAGGACGACGGTGAAACAATATGAAAGATGGGAAAATACATTTTTCTTTGTGTTCATTTGATTCCAATTCAAGCTGTTATAATGTCATTCTTCAATGTTAAAAATGGTTATAGTAACAATATAACACGTTCATTATTCAAATAAGCGTTTTTTTTTTGTTTTTTTTTCCACATTTTTAGCTAGTGGTGTGCCGAGAGATTTTAACAATGAAAGAAGTGTGCCTTGGCCCAAAAAAGTTTGAAAAACACTGTCCTAGCTGACTGTATCAAAGGCAGACTACACTGTGGATTTGTCATCAGAGCACACATGCCTTGACAGATAAGCATTTACACTCCCATTTACATCTACAGTCACCAACCCTACACTGGTTGCACAAATCCCCTCCATGTGCCACGACTCCATCAGTAACTAAAATCGCTTCTTAAAAGTAAGACCCATTTCAATTCAGGTCATTAATTGCATTTGTATAGTGGACTTAAAAACACACAATCTAATAGACAAAGAAGGGAATGGGATTCCTAGCATCGTTTTGCAATGTTAACAATTGGACAAACCAAGTTTAGTTTAAAATAAATCCCAATTTATCAAGGAAATGGCCTGCATCGAGTGCGGCTCATCTGACATCTGCAGGGTAGTTCCTGGGGCTTGCTGGAGGCACAATTCAAGGTGAACACTCAAAAAGTATTTTGCTATTTAGACTTCACAGGGAAGAAGGGAACACAAGAACCTTGGTGCACTTTACCAAGAGCAGGGTCAAACAAAAATCAAGTACTTCAAAAAGAGACTCAAATTGTATTCTCTTTTAGTAAA